TAATAAAATGGACAGTAGTTTGTCCCTAATGCATTGTTGAGATGATTCAACAGGTAGCAGCAAATCCTTTCCAAGTGCCTAGTTTACACAGCTGGGACGGTATCAGAGACCTTGGGAAGGTACATTGAGAGACGCATCTTTCTTTGCCCCTAGAACATGTCATAAGAGCAGAACTACTCTGTGAATGTTACTCTAGCCTTAGGCCTGGAGTAAACTTTGTAGCCTTTATACACACATACATGGGTCAATGGCCAAGTTGATCCATCCGACAACAGATCTACCCACCCCAAAGAGCTGTTTCACATAAATGTGCAGTGATTGCCCATGAAATAGGATTTTGTGATATGCAGGAGAATAATCCCACTCCTCACAGCTCCTAAAATCCTTCTCTGACCACTTCAGTGACCATGTTGCCAGGAGTGTCTTCATCAGCTATGAAAGATAAGAAAGTTGTGTACTCTCTGGTATAATGTGAAACTAGAGTTAGCTCCAATTTCATCCCCAGTTGCATGGGCATGGTATATATCCAACATGTTGCAAAAGCTGAAGCTCAAACTGGGACTCTCATTGTCTGTGGCCAGCAGCTCAGCTAGTTTAAACCAGGAAAGGAGCAACTCCATGGCCAAGCTAAGATTGTATCAGCAGGATATTGCTCTTTGCATATCTTTCTCAAATAATTATAAATTGCATTCTAATATTTTATGCAGTTTTCATATGTGAAATGCATGGGTTGCTATTCATGCAATTTTATTACCAAATGGTTCTTCATAGGGCATGAGACATTTGTAATCTTTGAAATTAGCAGTAGGGAATATATGTTCCTGAAATAATAGCCCAATCTTGTTTTGTGTTCTGACATTTCTGATGATGCTAAGGTGAGATCCTGACCCACCCTGGAACCAACGGAATTTCTGCCATTGACCTCAGCAAGTCTCAGACTACACTCCTGATGTTTGGATGCTATATATTTTGATGTTTTTATAAAAGCTTCCTTGGAAGATGGAGTATTTAGTAGACTGAATATCACATTAACACTTCTTGACTGAAAATTAGATTTAATGGACTAGACAACTATGTCAGGAGAGAGAGAAGAAATAAATAGGACTAGAAGACCGAGGCAGTCTGGAAGACAGAACAACAGCCTAACATAAAAAATCTGATGGGCCTCTTAGGAGAAAGAGGTGTCCCCCCAAACACACCAAAAGAAGGTAAGTTTGAAAAATGGAACTACAAAGGCAATGCTTGATAGGAAAAAAAGAAAATGGTCATTATGGGGTGTCAAATCAGGGTAACATGCCATTTTAGGAGAGAGGAGATATTTTATATAAAAATGGAAGAATGAAATGTTCCAGATGCAAAAGTCAAGATTAGATAAGAACAACAACTAGCTATATCAAGAAATCCAATGTGATCAGTTTTATTATTAGTTGTCTTGAAAAAAGCTGTATTTTATAGGAAAAAAATCTAAAATAATTCACAAAACACCTAGAACTTTTTTGACAAGCTGTAAAGTTTATTGTTCTTTTTCAAGCAAAAATATTTTTCTTAAGCATACTTAAACAAGCTAGTTTTCCAGCAAACCTATTTTGTGCCATAAAAAAAGACAGTAACCCTAATCAAGTATATAGATTCATTAAGGACCATACTAGAACTATGTCAAATATGTGACCCTCCAATCTGGGCGCAGTTAGCAGAGGCAACACTAGCTCCTCATTACTATCTTGAATTTATTGTCCATGAAATAGACTGTTGCCTGCTTTTCTATCAAAACAAATATAAAGACTGATCTGGCACATAAAAATGTAAGTCAGAATATTGATTCCTGCTAGCAGATCAAGATATACTGTACAGCAAATATAATACTCTTTAGGAATGGCTTGTCTCTTCCATAGTTTAAAAAAATATTTTCTTTCCTAGGGAGTCATTGTATGGAAAGTTTTCATTGATGTCATGAAAAAACAGGCAACCATGTCTCTCTTGTAAAATACAGTGTGTGCTCAGAAGTTTTACAATGGGTGAGTCATTTGTTAATGTATATTGTATATTGATCAAGAAAACAATAACTATAAAAAGATCACCATATTGTACATATTTTTACTGTTTATATGATTATAAGAACATTCTCAGGTAGCTTAGCCACACAAGTTTAGATTTTTCCATAAGTAAGATTTTTTAAAATTAACACTAATAACATTTTCATGAAACTATTCCATTGGAAAGCTTTAATTTTGAATGTAAACATTTTCTTGCAACCCCAAATTGCATCACTGAAATGGCTGATGCAGGAGACTAAGAAATGTTAAACTGACTAGTCTGAAACAAATAAAATAGATTTTAAAGCATGGTTTCAGTGTTAATGATCTAAGGTTTGGTAAGCAACAGCAAAACATGGGTGTACTTGAAATGGTTTAAATATAGGGTTCTAATTCTTATTTTGCTTCCAGGTAGAGGTGTGCCTTTGATTTGAATGGACTGGCATATATGAAAAGGAAAATAAAATATGACTTCTTTTAAATCAGTGCTGATCCTTCAGTTCTGTTGAAATGTTGCATACCTTTGAAATTGGTAAAAAGATATAGTGTTGTATTTTATGAAGACTTCCATAAAAAGAAAATATTTTAAAATAGCATGTTATTTGTTCTCAAATATATTGCAGTTTTTACATTAAGAAAGGGGAAGTTTTCCAGGTTGAAAGACGTCTCTCTTAAACAGAGATGATTAAAAATCTATTTTAATAAAGAATATTTCCAAATAGTATTTTTTAAAAGTTTATATTTTTGTTCAGTTTTTAGCTGTAGAAAAAGAATCATAGGTTAGAATGATCTAAAGTTATATTACAAAATGCCCTCTTTTCCCTTATCAGACTCTATTTTGGTCATTATTTAAGGCATTGAAAGCAGGGAGAATTTTGTTTCCAGCATTACAAACTGTTTCATTTCTCTCTGTAATCTACCTTTCCTGTAATTTTACAATAGGGTGAGAATGGGCTATCTTCTGATTTTCCTTTTCACAGTCTGATCATTTCTCTTCCATAGATTAAATAAGAACTTTGGGTGGACAGCAAACCCTTTCTTTTTAGCCTTGTATTTTATGGAACAATGTGGTGGGTGTGTTGAATTGTATTATATATCATCTGTGTGTCGTCAGATTATACACAATATAAAACTTTTAATATGCGAAATTAGAGTACTGCATCCTAATTTGAGTCTAAACTCCTTTTTAAAATCAGCACAAGAATACCAGTAAAAAATAACACTAAATATATGTTACAAACACACACACACACACATATATAAAATATCAGATTTAAGTAATATTTATGTCTCCCATTGTAAAGAGGTAAACAAAAGGAAACCTACAACAAAGATTTCAACTTATAAATGGGGAGATAAGAATTACCGCCAAATAATTTCAATTTAGAAAAGTGATAATAGGAATAGTAATTATCCATTGTCTTATTTAAAAGCACAGAATGATATTGAAATCAGTCAGTATGAAACAAGACATTTTAACAATGAAAACATAAGGGTTATAGGAAAAATCCTGTCCCATTGAATTCGATGGGGGGTTTGCCATTTGACTTCAAGGGCTAGGAATTCACCCTTGTGTTTTCTAAATCCAATTTAAAAATACATAGTATAGTATTGAATCTTCTATGTTAATTTTTGGCAAACACTTGTTTTTTGGCAACTCAAACACTAAAAAATTTATTAAGGCATAAGCTTCCATGAGCTGCAGCTCACTTTGTCAGAAGCATACTAGCACAGCTACCTTTCTGAAACTTGTTTTATTGGAATGCACGTGCATTTCTTGTTTTGTCTACAGAGCTCAATGTCTAGGAAGTAGAAAATTGTTTTCCCTTCATTGTCCTAGCACAAGTCAACCTATATTTCTTAAATCCATCATTCTAGCAGTAACTATTGTGAAAAGTCCTGACGTCATCTCTGTCCTATTTATAATGTCGCAGTCACGTTCCACAATTATGGGGTTCTCTGATGTGATTAATTGTAAGATTTCTGGAAGCCTTTCTTTTCTCTCTTTATATAAACTGAGAATTATCAGATGTTGGATCCTTAGTTGATTTTAATGTTGATCAATATGTTAATTGAACATTCAAGTTTATAGGGGAAGGTGTTTTGACTAGTTTTATTATTAACACTTTTTCTATCTTTTGGGGTTTAAATGCTTTGTCATTCTCATTTGTTGACTGGACTCTGTTGTGTAAGTGCATTTCCAGCTATATAAGCTTGCACCACAAAATTCAAATGGGGGAGGAGGGAAAGCTCAGTGGTTTGAGCATTGGCCTGCTAAACCCAGCGTTGAGTTCAATCCTTGAGAAGGCCATTTAGGGATCTGGGGCGAATCTGTCAGGGATGGTACTTGGTCCTGCTGTGAGGGCAGGGGACTGGACTCAATAACCTCTCAAGGTCCCTTCTAGTTCTATGAGATGGTATAGCTCCATATATTTATTTATATTTATTTAATACAGATTTAGAAGAAAAAAACCCTAAAATTTGGGATATTTGTTTTACGTTTGCCTATGCTTTCCACAGGAGCATATGGGTGGTCAGAGGTTTTTTTTATTATAATTATTATTATTTGCAGCTTTTTCCTTCCAGTATATAAGTTATAACTAATGTTTTAAATGAAGAATCACTTTAATCATTATTTATGCAAATCAGAGTACTGGGCATTTGTGACTAAGCTGGAGGTTACTCAGAGGTTTAGGACACATTTGAAAGAAGTCAAAAGACAGGTTGTTCTCTCATTTTCATTTTGGTCATGCATCTGTTAATGTTCTTTCTCTGTTTTGATGAGCTCATGGGCATACTTAATAACCAGAAAAACTGCAAAATATGACATTCATAGAGAACGCAGTTGCGATGCATGCTACCTCACCTTATTCCAAGCCCAGAATATGCTTAGACTTCCTTTGAGAAGCTCTGTGTGTTCTTTGGGGCATCCAGTCTGAAGAATGGTAGGCAATATTGCAGCTGGCTACTCTGCACTGGGATTCCTATGGGAGGGTGCCAGAAAGAGAGCTTTAACTTGAACATAAGGTTCCACAGGTGCCTGCAGGTAGAGAATGCTGAATTGTGAGACTAAACTCCATGGCTAATCTGGCCACACATTTTCTGTACACTGCCACCCAGTCTGAATCATGAAAGCTCTCTCTCATTCCTTTGGTGCAAGCTAGGTTGCTCTGCTCTACATCACTGTGATCTTTCACAACAACAGCCTTCGGAGCCCTTAGATGGATTTTTAAACTAGTGAAAATGAGCTTGAATTGTAGATGAATGAGGCTATGAACATAGCTGGTGTTCTCAGTGTTTAAAAATGTTAAAATCAGATTGTTTGAAATGGCTATATTCATAGAAACTAGCAATGACAAAATCATGCCATCTAGTTAGTTCCCTGACAATGTTCACTTTTACAGTTCTTCCATTCTCTTGGTGCAAAATCCATGCTGGGGGACAGGAAGACTTATTTTGGGATGGGGAAAGAGGGAGAAAAGGACACCGTTTCAAAGGGTAGGGCTGACTCAAGGACAGTTGGCAAGTGGCATCAGATTTAATGGGAGGTAAAATGGGAACTAAGAATCTCTGGCTGGAGGGGTAACTGCAAGAATTCATATCTATAGTATAATGAGAAGAAGATTCCTAGGTCAAAGAAGACAGACACCTATCATTACCTTGACCATTTTACTTGTACATTATATCCATTTTTCCCAGGATTTGTGTGCTTTTTCTCTTTTTCCTATATGTCTATGCAACATATTTTGGATGATGATGCAACATTCATAAAAAATAATAATATAGCAAGTTTTCTGGTGCTTTTAGTCCATTCTAGCCTTTAAATTATAAAACTTGTGTTCAATTTCTTAGAATTCTAGGAAGAAAACAGAGTTCACATATTTTAGCTTTCCTGTCTAACTATTTCGTATGAATAATAGAAATTCAGATCTGATAACAAAGTACATCCCAGGCTGGTACAGAAGTCTGTTTATACAGGTTATGGTTTAAGAAACCTCTGAACTGTCAAATAGCCTCAGAATTAATGAGACCATACAGGTCTAAGGTCCCTAAAAAGATTCATCTAGATTAGAGTCTATTAATCCTGCTCAGTTCTATAAAAGTGACAGCATATATGTATTTTGTTTAAGCTTAATTTTATAGAGTTCATCAACTATTTTCTTAATCAATAGTGATTGCCCAGCTCTTGACTGTGGTAAAGACTTTTTCTCCAAACTCTTAATTTACAATTAATTAGATATTTTCTGAGAGGAAACTTTAGGAAGAAAAATCTAAGCCTGAAATATAATATGAGCAGAGAACAAATGTGTTCAGGGGAGGGAAATCAACAATATGCCTTTTAGATTTAAGTCAAATACAAATGTCTTCAAATAGTTGAATTAGTTACAGAATTGAATTTTTTCTGTATTCCCTATACATTTCCACTTACAAATTGAAGAAGGCAGTATCTCTTTCATTTATGTGAAATAGCATCAACTACAAACATCCAACAGCTTGTGTGTGTGTGTGTGAGAGAGAGAGAGAGAGAGAGAGAGAGAAATATGTCTATTATACAGACATGAGCCCAAACCAAACCTCCCGGTCTGAAATTCAGATACAGTTTGGATAAGATTTAATGTCTATCTTCTCTGTAATGGGCTGAAACAAAACTCACAATCCAAACACTGCTGAATGTTGGGATTCCCTTCTCTCCCCCTCCCCCACCCAATTTAAATTTTGATTCCAAGTTCATATCTACTGTACACAGAACAGATAGGACAAAAGAGTGGACCGTGTTAATGTAGAAACTCAATAAAAACAAAATATAAAGGAATTAGCAAAGGTTTGTGTTACATATCAAATGTCATATAATGCTAAAGAAATAATTCCATAAGAGAAACTGATCACTTGTTAAAAAGCTATCTTGATACATTGTCATGCTTAATATTAGCATCATTTTTAAATCTGTGCTCCAAATTAATGTATTTCAATCAAGCAATATTACTCAATAGTCCTTTTAAAATGTTTGTTTTCCTTTATCAAAACATGGTACATAATCATTTGCTCACAAAATCTATTAGGTACCAAGCCTTTAATTTGCTGCATGTTAACATTAGATACTCAATATAAGAAGTTATTTAGGACTGATAATAATGACTGTAATAAGGCCTGACACTTGTGACACTTCAAACATGCAACCACCAACAGTTCCATTACAACAAAAAAGCTCCCAACACAACACATTTTAATAGTCAGAAGAGTTGTGAATTCACAGCTTTGCACAGCAGGTGTGGCAGCACATCTTTGCACCCCTAAATACACATGCTCATCTAATCTGACAGATTAGACAATAGCACAAAACCCCCATCACTGATGTTTAAACAAAGACTTTATCTGTGAAGAGACAAAGCTCGGTTCTGAATGTGTTGCCATTAATAATTTTTCCAAGTTGAAAACAATATATATATTATTAATGAAAAACAAATTG